CCCCCCTGGCACGGTTTTGCCGCACGGTTTTTCTGCACATTTGGACACGGTTATGAGGGGGCGGAGCCTAAATTGCAACCCTGGCACGGTTTTGCCGCACGGTTTTTCTCGACTCCGCCCACTTTCCCCGGCTTTTTTTCCCCGATTTTTTCTTTCCCCGGAATTTGCGGGGTCTCCCGCGCCGTATTCTCGCTAGTGTAAACGCGCTCGGTCGCACATTTTCATTCGAAATTTTTTTCAGTTTTCGAGGTTTCTCTTTTCCGTACTTTTCGATTCAGTTCATTCTCTAAATCTTGAATTAGAAATGTCGGATGTTGAAATGGATTCTGGATCGGACGGATCCGAAATGGAGGACCTTGACGAATCGATTCAAAAAGTTAAAGACCAAGTAAGTGTTTGTCTATTTTTAGAAAAATTTTGAACAGAGTCCTTCAAACATAAACATAAAATAATTGTTTTTTAGATGAAGGAAGATGATCGCGATGTCAATCTTGCTAATCAACTGTTGGTTTTGCTTCGAAAAAATGGAGATTTCCCAGAACTCGAACAAAAAAGGAAGAGATTTGTCGAGTGGGCACCTCTGACTCCTCTGAACTGGATAAATTGGATCGAGTGAGTTTTGCAAATCGTTTCATAGCGAAATACTCATTAATTTACAGGGACTTTCGAAAGCAAGAGCCAGAGCCGAGTGTGGAAGACGTCGAAAAAATGTTCGAAAGAGCAATTTTCGATGAAAACGACGTCACTATCTGGGCAGAACGGGTCATGTACTCATACAAATGTGCACATGATGAGAGAAGTGACAAGGACTTTGAATACTGCCGAGATGTGAGTTTAAAATCCTTGAGAGGATTTTCGAGCACTCAAATACATTTTCAGACATGCGAAAAAGCGCTTACTGCAATTGGCAATCGATATGATGCTGGGGGACACATTTGGATGTTATTCCTTGGATATGAACTGAAACATTTCAGAAGTAGGTTAAAATTTCATAATCTTGGTATTCAATATCTTTTTCCAGAATACATAAACAGTTCGGAATTCCAACAACAAGCTGATCAAGTAGCGCATTTATTCAAAAGAGCTCTACGTTGTCCCACAGACCAATTGGAAGAAATTTATTCGCAATCTGAACAGTTCTGCTCCGATTACCAACAAGACAGTCATGTTACTGAGCTCAAAAAGCTATACGACGCAACAATGCGACAGAAGGAACAATTAGCCAAATTTCAAATTCTCATCGACAATCATGAAACTAAGAAGATGGGATTGAAGCAATTTTTTGAGCACGAAAAGAAAAGCGGAATGCCTGCACGAGTACAAATGGCTCACGAACGGATGGTAGCTGAGTTAAGTGATGATGAGGATGCTTGGTGTGCTTATGGAGCTTGGACAGAATATGAACTGAAATTACCGCAAATTTCGGTAGAGATCTACGAACGGGCACTCCGTCACTGTCCATACAGCTACGTTCTCCACCAACAAACTCTTCTAGCTCTCGAAAGAGCTCAGAAGCCAGACGAGGTTATTGATCGGCTATGGGCTAAAGCAAAAAATAATGTAATCAAGTAAGTTTTAAAGATTAGTTTGAGTTTATGCATTCGTTAATAGTTGCTATTTAAGCGCTGCTGAAGAAGGTCGTGGTTTATATCGCACATACGCATTCTTGCTTCGGCGAAGAATTTTTCTCGCTGGATCGAAAGATTTCTCTCCGATGGCTGAAGTTTTCGACGAAGGAGCTGCAATTCTAAAAGAGTGGTTCACAATGGCCTGGGACCCGAATGCTGAGTACCGCCAGATGCAAGCATATTTCTATGCTTCACTAATGAAGGATATGGATAAATGCCGCAAAATCTGGAATGATATTCTGGCATCAGGTTTTGGTAGATTTGCTGGAAAATGGTTGGAAGCAGTGCGAATCGAACGACAGTTTGGAGATAAAGAGAATGCGAGAAGATTCCTCAACAAGGCTCTCAATTCTGTTTCGGATAACATCAACGAAATTTATTTGTACTATGTTCAGTTTGAGAGAGAAGAGGGAACACTGTCTGAGCTGGATCAGGTTCTGGAAAAAGTTAATGCACAAGCATCACATCGTGCCAACCGTCCTCAGAAGAAGTTGCCAGAAAAGCCATATCCATCAGAAAAAGATAACAAGGATTTGAAAAAGAGAACCGCCGGAGGCGAACCGATTGTTAAGAAAGTTAAATCAGCGGATGGAGGTTTCAAAGCTCCTTTGCCTCCCACTGCATTGAAGAAACCGACACCACCGTCCACACAAACTACCACATCATCCACTGCTCCATCTGTTTCATTTTCCACTCCAAAATCTCAACCGGGAACAGAGGATGCTCGTACAATTTTCGTATCAAATCTTGATTTTACTACAACGGAGGACGATATCCGACAAGCTATTCAAGGTGTAACATCTATTCGTTTTGCTCGTAAAGCGCACACCGATGAAACCCATCGAGGATTTGCTTACGTTGTCATGGAAAATGAAGAGAAGACGAGAATCGCATTGCAGAAGGACAGAGTTTCGGTCAAAGGACGTCCTATGTTTGTAAGTGAGATAGTTAAAGAATCAAAACGAATTTTCCTATTTCAGATTTCCGCAAATGATCCAGAGAAAAGAGTTGGATTCAAGTTCTCAACAGGCCTCGAGAAAGCAAAAATCTTCGTACGAAATGTCCACTTCCAAGCAACAGACGAAGAGCTTCTTGTAAGATATTTTATATCTGATTATGGATAGTAATTATTGAATTTCCGGCACTCTTCTCAAAGTTCGGACCCGTTAAAAGTGTTCGTCGTGTCACTCATCGAGATGGAAAACCCAAAGGAGTTGCATTCATCGATTTCGAATCGGAATCGAGTGCACAACAGTGCGTTGCATCTGGAGACAAGCTAGTTCTTCGCGAGAGAGACTTGGAAGTTGCTATCTCAAATCCACCAGCGAAAAAGGACAAACACCATCCACATGTTGGATTTGCTGGAAAAGTTGCTAGTGAAGAAGATGGAGGTCGCAAAGGTCATGCAGCGAAATTACAACTTGTTCCAAGAGCTATTGCTGCCAAAGCCCCTCAAATCACTGCTCGTATGGATGCCATGGATGTTTCAGAGAAGCCGGCTTCTTCGAAAGCATCCACCTCATCTACATCAGCGTCAAAGCCTATGTCTAACGATCAATTCCGACAAATGTTCATGAGAAATTAGTTGTGTTCTATCAATGTTCTGTCGATATTTCAACCCTGTATGTGTATCTCCAAGCCCCGTTCTCCCTTTGATTTATCGAATCCGGTTTTTCTCAAATTATTGAAGTTTGCTGTAACTTCTTGATGTTTTTTAATCCTGGCAATATTTTGTTTCTTGCTCTACGGTATTCTTTGTTTGCTAATAATTTTTCTAGGTTTTCCTGGTATTGCCTCCGAAATAAATTGTTTTATAACTAAATTTGCATGTCGACTATGAAATGGTTATGACCATTTACAATATCTCAATCACTTCCTTTCTACTCTATTTCATCCATTTCTCAGATGTCATCTTCCGAAGAGAATTCAGATGCTTCTGCTCCAGGAACTCCCGTGAAGTCGTGAGTTCATTATTTCAGTATTGCAACCGAAATATTACTCTCGTCCGAAATCAATGCACGTTGCGGCCGAAAATTTACTCAAAATCGCATCGTCGGTCGCACAGCGAAAAAACAAATTTATGCATGCGCCTTTAAATACCGTACCTCGGACGTTTTTTTTTTATTTTGGGCCTTATTTGGCTGTTTTTTATTTATTTTATAAGAAAAATGAATTAAAGATTGATAAGAATTACACAAATTTAGACAGAAACAAGCGAAACAATGAGAGAAATTTGAGAAAATTCGATAAATGTTGAGGTACTGTATTAAAGCTGCGTGCAATAATTTGAAAAATACAGCAAGGTTCTCTCAGTGGGAGCTAAGCTCCGTTCAACGTTGTTTTCTCGGCCGCAACGTGCATTGATTTCGGACAAGAGTAATAAGATATTTCCAGAGGAACTCCATCGTCTCGTGGATCCTCTCCAGCTTCACCACCTGCTAAACAAGAAACCACGAAGAAGAAAGCCATCCTTTCTGATTCTGATGATGATTCGGATTCTCGTCCAGCACCAAAACAACTATCCGATTCATCTGATGACGATCGGAGACCTGCTGGTGATGGTCATGCAAGCGGTGGTGGAAATTTGTTCGGTGATGTTTCCGGATCGTCGGATGATGATTCTGATTCGGAGAAAAAGCCAAGAGAATCAGATACGAGAGCTCGGCTGTCTGATTCGGATGCAGAGAGCCGTGGAAGCTTGAATGAGCTTCAAGGAATTGTGATGGCGAATCCAGATGAAATCGAGGAGAAAGAGAAAGAAGAGGTTCATGACACAGAGGTTTGTCTTTTCTTTCTTTTTTCACATTGAAAGAACTCGTATTCAGATGCTGTCGGGTCGTGTTTCTTTGGAATTTGCGGAGGAAGCTCCTTATTACGTTAGAATGCCAAACTTCTTGTCAGTGGCCACTCATCCGTTCGATCCACAACATTACGAAGAAGATGAAGATGATGATCAAGCTAAAATGGACGAAGAAGGACGGACGAGACTCAAATTGAGGGTATGGAACACATAGTTTTCAAGTAAAGATCACAATCATATGTTTAGGTGGAAAATACTCTTCGCTGGCGTATCAGGAAAGATGAGAACGGTGAAGAGATTCGAGAGAGCAATGCAAAAATTGTCAAATGGGAAGATGGAACGTAAGTTGAAATCAATCTTCAAACTCCAAGATCATTTTACTCCTTGTCAGAATGTCGCTGTATCTTGGAAACGAAATCTTCGATGTGACACTGATGCCGTTGAACGTGAATAACTTACCACATCTGTACGTTTCTCAACCGAATATGATGTCTGCTCAGCACGTTCTCACTCATCGAATGAACTTCCGTCCTCATTCTACGGACTCCCAAACTCACAGAAAAGTCACGCTGAACATGGCCGACCGAAGCAGAAAGAATGCGCAAGTCAAGGTTATGGACTCTGTTGGACAGAATCCAGAAATCGTACGAAGAGAGAACGCTCGCAAAGAAGAAGAATCGCTCCGTGCTCATATCCGGCGCACTCAAATGGTCAGAAACAATTTCAAGGTTCGTCGTCCGAACTATGGACAAGTGTATTCTGATGAGGAGGATATGCCAAGCACATCGAGAAAGGGAAAGAGGAAGGAGGCTCCAATCATAGGTAAACGAGAAGGATTATCACTGATTTATAATGTCTCTTACTCAGGCGCCAGCTCGGAAAGCGAGGATGAAGGAGACAATCACAAGAAGAGCTCGGATAGTGACTCGGATGAAGAGTACCGAAAACGAAAGCAACAACAAAAGAAACAGATTGTCACCAGTGACGAAGATTCCGATTGATCCTCAATACTTTTTTATCCGCTTCTTCTTTTCTGTTTTGAAGCAACCTGTATGTTTCCGTTTTTCTGAACACGATCTTTATTTGGTCAGCCTATTTATTTTCACACATTTCAAATACCCTTTTCTTCTCAAAATAAAGTTAGCGAGGTCTCAGGCATGTTCCCTGAAAAATTGGGATCTGATTTTAAGCTGCATAATCTTTATTTTCACAAATTAAAGAAGGTTAACAGAGAGAAGGACTTATCAGTGCCGTTTTATTTCTTTCCTCCTTTGGCTCCAGCGCTCGCGAGCGAGTGGGCCTGGGAGTTTCCATGGTGACCGGAGTGTCCCTTGACGTGGTGAGCGCTGACGGAGACGTTCGATTTCATCGAGTTAATCGATTGCATAAGATCACGATTGGTTGCTGGGGCTCTAGAATTTCAACAGTTGATTCATAATTAAACTCAAAAACATACCTTTGGAATTGATCCGAGTTGTTGATCGCGTTTCTGACGTAGTGGGAGTCAGAATGAATGTTGACTCCAGAGTATCCTTGACGCGATGCCTGGAAAGTAATAAAAGAACTGAATAAACAGAATCTCAGAACAAACCGTTTGAATGGCTTGTTGAGCGGCACGAAGCTCAGCGCGGTTGCTGTCCTGATGGCCAGAGACAGTTCCACTGCGGTTGTTGGCATGACCTACAATTCATTCTTAACCGTAAATCCTTGAAAACTAAAAGTCATCGAACCTTGTCCCCAATAGACTCCATAGCCGGCTTGAGCATTCGGAGTTCCCTGGTTTCTGCAGGAACCATCAGTGTAGACGTGTGGATTCGGTTGTCCGCGACCCGCCATTTCAGAAGGAGAAATTTCAGATTATAGAAATTTGCTGAATATGACGAGAATGAACGACGAGCCACCCTTTTATAGAAACTGTTAGATACGCATGGTGGGGGTACTGTAGTCTGAGCAATGCAGGTCTTTGTTTCTCATAACATTCATAACGCCACGTCGTCCAAACGGATTTAGGGGGCGTGTCCAATATTGTTTTTGAGGCAAAAACATACGAAATATTCAGACACAGACGGTTTAGAATGAGCAACGTTGCCAGAATATGACGAGCATTGCTCACCCTTAAACAGGCTTCAGGTAATTGGATTTTTCGGTAGCTATTTTCTGTTTATGTGTGCATGTGATAATCCTTCAAGAGAAACATTTATTTTAAGCAAAAAGTGTTAGAAAAAAGAAGTTGATATCGAAGGAACTACAAGCTGCTGAGAATGTGTAATACTTTATCACTGCACATGAACAGGGAATAACATAACATTAAGAAGATCAGAGTTCTCTAATTCAAAGCTTTGGAGCAACCCATTTGTAAGTGCCAGTGAAGATGAATCCATACTTTTGCATCAAGTCATCTCCTTCGGTTGGTCCTCGACTTCCGAACTTGTACTGTACAGGTTGGATTTTCTTCTTCTCAAGCTCCTCCAAAACAGGAGTCAAGATACGCCACGCGTATTCCAGTTCATCAGTTCGCACGAAATTGATTTGAGATCCCATGAATACTTCCAGGAAAAGACGCTCGTAGGCATCGGGAAGTCGGACATCTTTGAATCTGGAAAAGTACTTTTCATATGAGCATTTATGCGAGATTTGAACTTACCTATTGTTATAAGTCAAGTCAAGCTCGGTCTCTTCTACTCCAAATCCCATTCCTGGCTTCTTTGTCATCAGTTTCATGTACACAGCTTCATTCGGCTGCACTCTCATCACCAACTCCGACCGTTTCAATTCTCCAGATGGATAGATATCTCCGCTCACTTCCTTGAATTGTATGCGGACTTCAGCCTTCTTCTCATTGAGGGCTGAAATTAGATGTACCCTCGGAATCCATTTTGAAAAGTACCTTTTCCACAGCGCAGGAAGAATGGAACTCCTTCCCATCGTTCATTATTAATGTGGAGAACAGCAAGTGCATATGTTGGAGTTGTTGAATCGGCTGGAACAGACTTGTCATCTTTGTATCCTTGAGATGCTTCTGGATCTGAAATTATTAGTTTTATTTGAAAGTTCTAAAACATCTATCTCACGATCGAAGTCCGGATTTGCCACGTACTGTCCAACTACAACATCCTTCAATTCAACCACTTTACACGCCTTCAGAACTTTGACTTTTTCATCACGAATGTCTTCAGCATTCAGACTAGCTGGTTTCTCCATGGCGACTAATGTCAAAATTTGCATCAAATGATTCTGCATAACATCACGAATAATTCCAGCGGTATCGAAGTATCCAGCACGTCCACCAGTTCCAAAATCTTCTTTGAATGAGATCATAACAGATGCAATGTGATCGCGGTTCCAGGATGGTGCTAGAATACGGTTTCCAAAGCTAAAAATATAAATTCAAAATGTTTACTTTTTTTGAAACAACATACCGCATAACCATCAGATTTTGGACCATTTCCTTTCCAAGGTAATGGTCGATACGATAAATCTGATCTTCCTTAAAAAGTTGAGCTAGGTGAGTGGACAGCTCACAAGACGATTTCAAATCATGCCCGAATGGTTTTTCTATGATCACACGAGTCCACGAATCTCCACGATCCATACAATTCTTCTTGAGTTCTGTCGACACAACATTGAACACTGCTGGTGGGAGAGCAAGGTAATACAAACGGTTCACAGCTTCTGAAATTTCAGTTTCTATAAATAAATTTTTATGGTTTCTCGTAAACTCACGATCGTGACTTTCTTTCTGGAAATCGTCAATTGAAGATTGGAGACGTTGGAAGCCATCAGAAGTATCGTATTGTCCCTGTAAACTCATTTTTTTACTCTATTTTCATAAGAATTATTACTTGAATGTAAGAGCATTTCTTGATAAAGTCGTCGAATGCGCATTTCTCCGTTTCACGAACTTTACAAAACTTTTCGAACGATTCACGAAGCTTGCAAACCGTCAAGTCAGACCTTGCATATCCTACGAATTTGATGTTGACTGGAAGAAGATTGTCACGGAACAACCACCAGAGAGTTGGGTATATCTTCTTCTTGGCAAGATCTCCGGAAGCTCCGAAAACGACGAAGACGTATGGAGTTTCAAATTTGAGTTCTCTTTGCATCGACTCTCGAAGACATTCAACCAGATCCTTCGAGAGTGGATCGGACACAGAGTGACGTTTGCATTGGTTAGCCATGTCTATAAATTGACAGAGTTTTTGAAAATCAGAAAACAAACAAAAACAGATGGGGAAGATGATGATGACTATACAGATTGAGTGCCAATAGGAAGACAACAATTCTGCGGAAGAAAAAGAAATGGAGGTGTTGAAAAAAGGTGTTTGATTCGATAATGTACTTGTTAATCGCATTCTTGAGGGATCAAAGAAAATCATGTTAACTAGTTATTCTGGAGAGAAGAAATGCAGTTGTTTTGCCTCTCTCTCTCTCTCTCTCTCTCTCTCTCTCTCTCTCTCTCTCTCTCTCTCTCTAAACTCGTAAGCTACAAAAAGACTCTCACAGAGGCAACCCTATAAATCGGTCAATTTTTCACTTCCCCACTTTAGGAGGTTGAGAGAAGCAAAGGAAAGAGAAAAGTGTGGTGGTCTAGGGGAGAAGAAGTAGACAAACATGAAAATATTTACTGCTGAAATCTCCTTTGGACAAAAAAATGATGACTGAATTTGTTTGTGTCCAAAAGGTAATAGTGTTCTTTGAGATGACAAAACGAAATGGAAACACAAAACTTTAGGAGACAACAAAAGCTGTTTGAGTAGAGAGTAACACGACCGCTGGTGAAATTGTTGTAACTCTAGATTTAATCTATGGTCTCTGCTCCTCGGGTGACCACCAGCCATCAATAGAACAGACAACAACCACACATATTTCTCAAAGACAGAGACGTTTTCAGAAATATTCCTGCAGAAACCTGACAGAGCTAGACAGAATTCAATGATCAGTTCTGTGGAGACCTTATCAGTCTACTCGGAAAACGTGTTTGATTTTTCCAAATTAACAACTGAACAGTTGGTACATTTTTGAACAAGAAAACGGAATGGAAGGATACTGTGAATTTTCAATTCTCATGTAATGGAATAGAGCACACGATAAATAGGTCACATTTATTTGTGTCCTCGGTTTTTTGGAGGTGAAAAGTGCAAACAAAAAGAGACGAAAGAAACGAGAAATGATGACAAACCGGCGGAGAATCTTGAGAAAAAGGTGAGAAAACGGAAAGGGCAGACGAAATTAGCCGACGGAAAAGGGAAAAGAAAACGGAGAGAAAAACTGAACCTTTTTTCAAAGAACTATAACTATTATGCTGGTGTGTAAGAGATATGAGGAAGGGAAAAATTGGTGGCCGTGTCGATGTTCCCACGACAACTACCGTAACCTAAAAAGATTTTTTATATTCCAGATTTCTTAACTTTCGACTTTCGTGCGATTTCAGTGAATTTTTCGCTGTCAAAAGTTTTTTATTCGATTTTTTAAATGTGAAACTTAGAGAAAGCTCGACTAAAAGCTGTGAAAAACGAGAAAACAAATCCGGAAAATAAAAAATGTTAGGCATCAGAATTTTCATATTTACAATATCAGAGCTGTAGAGCTACGGAATCAACGTCATTATTTATATGCTAATTCGATTCCGGCCCTTTAATAGTATCATTACTGATGATATTGGAGTTCCCATATCAGAGGTTCTGGACCCAAACTACATAGGCTTAAGCATTCAACTTGCCGCAATAGATTTCTGCTGTTCAGAGAATGGAGTTAGACATAAGAATGTTTGGATGCGAAGACTCTAAAAGAATTGCGGGGGATGCCGAAAATAATCTGTAGATCGGAACGAAAACATAGGAGTTTTAAACAAATTGTTTTCCTCGAAAAGCTCTTTTTTCTTCCGCATCATTTTATTTATAGTTGAGAACTCTGGGGTGACACATCAGAGGGTGGTGCCATTCGCGATAAGGAAACTAGGCGAAAATGCCACCAGCAGCAAAATATGAACAAAGTGAACAGTGAACACGAACTTGGAACTCATAAAGCATAAAGTCCTTTATATTGGTCTACGTTTACACAAAAATTTCAAAACATTGTAAAGATGCAAAAATTGTAGAAGGGATGCATACGATTTACTTAAAAGGTTATTCTTCAGCATCGAGGTTGATTTGATCACCGAATTTTCCATAAAGAACCTTCTTGATTCGTTCCATCTCCGCTGTGATAGTTTCCAATTCGTTTGTTTTCTCAGCCAGAACAGTTTCAGTAGAGGCTTTCTTCGCTTCCAAGTGTTCATTCAGACTATCCTGAAAAAAATCATCCACAGCCGTAACGGAAATGATTGGGCCCAAACATGTCACATTTCAAACGACTTTTCAATCCAATTACAGTTTTTCATACTTATGAAAAAGACTGCTCAACGTTTTCTACATAAAAACTCACTGAGTTGAAATGAACGAAGCAGCTTCCAATCCGGCATGGAATCGACGCCGAATCTTCATCGTCGAGCAAGAGGACCTCATCGGTGGCTTCATTAATATTCTCCACAAGTGTTTTCATCTCCTTGCATTCGGCCTGAATGAAATTTTAATAAATATTCCTGTTAAAACTAAATATACCTTTAATTGAGTTTGAAGTTGGTAGGAACGAGCAAACTTGTTCAAAAGTGCTTGATCCTCAGCGGAAACTTTTGCCTGGGTTGCCATTCTGCAATTCTTTTTATTTATTTTGAAGAAAGAACTTTCAGGAATTTGCGAAAATTGAGAAAAGTATTTATTCAACAAATTTGAAGATTCTCGAAAAAAAATTTCCGGAAAAAAGTTCGGCCATGAAAGCAGGAAAACTCTTCCACTGGCTGTATACTCCTCGAGGACAACTTCCACGCGTTTTCATTTCATTTTTTATCAAAATTTATCAAGTTTGGACCTAAATATTTTCGATTTTCAATTTTTCAGCTAAAACAAACTATGCCTGCTACACTTGCTGAAATTCCAACTCTTTTTCACAAATGTAAGTTCTAATTGAATGTGAAAGAAATAGGATTTTATTCATTCCCAATGTATTTCAGTCCGTGTGGCGAAACGAGTGCTGGATCGTGTGAGCATCTGGGATGGAGATATCACCAATCTCACCGTTGATGCCATTGTCAATGCAGCAAACAGCAGATTGGCTGGAGGTGGCGGCGTAGACGGAGCAATTCACCGTGCTGCTGGAAGAAACGAACTGCAAGCTGAATGCCGTAAATACAACGGATGTGCAGTCGGTGATGCTGTGATTACTTCCGGATGCAATGTCAATCACATCAAAAGTAAGTTCAACAGCTAACTCGAGTGAAGTTATTGGCATTTTTCAGAAATCATTCATACTGTTGGTCCACAAGTTTACGGAAGTGTTACCGACGAAAAACGCGAGAATCTCATTGCCTGTTATAGAACTTCTCTGGACATAGCCATTGAAAATGGGATGAAGAGCGTAGTCAGTTTAACGAATCTCGATCTATCAAAAATGCATTGTTCAGGCCTTCTGCTGCATTTCGACCGGAGTATATGGGTATCCGAATGATGATGCTGCCAAGACGGTTACCAAGTTCCTGACAGAGTTTCTCGAAAACGATGACCAAATTGAACGTATCGTCTTGGTGACCTTCCTCCAGGTGGATAATGAGCTCTACAACGAATACTTCGCGAAATATGCTGCCACAAAAACTGTCTGAAAATATTGCACGAGTTTGTAAATACATTCCTTATTGCACATCTTTTTCCCCGTTAATTTATATTTAAAGCATTCCCCTGGTGATCTTGTTTAATGATTCTCTCTATTTGCACTGTGTTGCCGGTTGATAAACATGTCAATTTTATATTCTCATGATTTCGTTGATTCACCGATTTCGGGTTCATATTGATTTTTCTTATCCGTTTTCCAATATTCAATACCGTCTTTTCTTCCTAGGTACTCATCTGATGAATTCGGCGTTAAGCCTGCCGTTTCTAGTCATATGTTTAGTCTTGGTGCAACAATGTGACTCGGTCGGGTTTGCACCAGAACTTTACTGCGGATTAGAAAACTGTTATGATGGTGAGTCGTTTATGCTTATATTGCAGTCAGATTAATCCATTGATTTCAGTAATCGAAATTAACCGGGAAGAGTTCGATAAGCAGAAGTTGTCGAAAGCTTATCGAGCATTGGCGAGAAAACATCATCCGGATAGAGTGAAAAACAAGGTATGGTTTCTATAAATTAGACATTTTTAGATGGAAATTCCTGCAGGAAGAGAAGATTCTCGCTGAAGAACGGTTCCGAGTGATTGCTACTGCCTACGAAACTCTCAAGGATGAGGAAGCCAAAACTACTTACGACTACTATCTCGATCATCCGGATCAAAGGTATGCAGATCCCCGATGATTTTCTTTATTGTTCTCTTTCAGATTCTATAACTACTACCAATACTATCGTCTCCGAGTAGCACCAAAAGTTGATGTTCGATTGGTTATTGTTGGAACGATTCTCGTCATCTCTCTATTTCAATATCTTTCTGCGAAGCACAAGTTCTCGGAAGCAATTGAATATGCTACAGGTGTTGGAAAGTTCCGTAACATGGCTATCAAGGATGGAGTCGATCGAGGGGTAATTGTTTCAGTGTTCATGGTTATTATAAAATTAATTTTTAGCTTCTGGAAATGGATAGAAACGGGAAGCTGAAAAAGAACAAAGGTGACAACGATGCAATCATCAAACAGATCATAACCGAAAATCTCGATGTGACGTAAGTAGAAGCAATTTGCTTTTCACTTTTCAGGAGTAAGATTTCAGGGGTGGGTACAAAAAAGAGTCAGTTTATGATACACTCGCTTGGCATACCATAATTTCTCCACTCACAATTTTCCGCTATATCAAATGGGCAGTTCTGTGGTACTGGCGGTTTGCTATCAAAAAAGAAGAATTGGACGATGAAGCAAAGATGTACCTTATCAGAAAATATCTTGGAGTCTCTCAATCGGAGTTTGACCAGGTAATACATTGAAAAAGGCTTTTCCTTAGCAAAACATTTCAGCGCTTCGGAACAGATATCGATGATCTTTTCGAGCATGAATGTTGGATAAAGGCTAATTGTGAGAAATGGAAAGCTGAGAAAGATGCCGCGGAGCAAGAGAAAATGGCTCAATCAGGTCGGTATAAGAGGTACAAAAGATACATGAAGAATGCCGGAACCATTTCGTTTGTCGATGAAGAATAGATCGTTTTATCCCTGAAACTAATTTTATTGCATCCTAAATAACTCGTTCAAATTCTTATTTTACGGCATTTCATGTTTCCCTATCGCTTAAATGTTTGTTTTCCGGGTGACTGAGCATTATCTACTTTTTCGATTGTTACGTTATTAGATGGAAAATAATTTATTCAATTGATAAAATCATGTTTCTTTGCTGCTTTTGCATACAGTTATTTCCGGTAGTTTGCGGAAAGGAAAAAAAAATATTTAGAATTGAAGGAGGGACAGGAAAAAGTTCAAACACAGATAACATTTCGAACGAGACATGAAAGAGATGGAGAGAGATGCGAATAGCTCAGTGATACGAGTTGGCGCGCTTTTCAAATAACATTTTGACACGTCTTTCTTCTAGAGATAGTGAATGATCATCAGGATGCACAATTCGAGTACGTGATCCGAGCTTAGATGCTACAGCCGCAACTGCAGCGACTTTTGCTGATGTGGCACTTGTTACCGGCTGAAAATTAAGAAAATAGCTGAACGCAAAGAGGTGACAAGGTATTACCTCTGGTTCTGATTTGACAGCCTCGAACCGGCTTCCTCCTGGAAGGTTCCCGCGATCACCTTCTCTGAATCGGTCTTCATAACCTCCTTGGTGATATTCATCAGGTGCTCGATAATCTTGATTGTCTGTAATGAAAATTATTCTCAAAAACAGTTACAAGAATTCTTAAAATTTAGATAGTGTTAGTGAATTCAGATATAGTATACCTCTATCATCTTCATATTGTGGCGTTCTTGGTCCACGCGGTGGAGCTCCCCACCGATCACCATCAGGTTGATCGAACCTGCTCCTCGGAGGTGGGGCTCCTGGCATTGGTGGTCCACCAGGTGGTCCGCCCATTGGCATACGTGGTGGTGGATAAGCTCCTGGCATGCCAGGAGGTGGCATATAAACTCCTGGGGCTCCTGGCGGTGGCTGATAAGGCCGTGGTGGTGGATAGGCACCGGGCATTCCTGGCGGTGGCATCATTCCGTGAGGAGGCATTGGTGGCATTCCGTATCCCATTTGCGGAGGAGGTGGACCTGAGATGCATAGTGTAATTTTGACCTGTACATCGAGCGTATATTTTATTTTGAAACACCGTTTCAAATCTTTTCCATCTTTTCCATTATTAAGGAATTTTTGAAATTAACCTTACCAGAAGGCATTGGAGGCATCCCTGGATAAGGAAAATGCTGTGGAAATGGCATTGGAGCAGGCATGGGTGGCTGCCCAGAATCCATTTTAGAGCGTTTTTCATCCGGTTCATCATCAGCTGCTCCTCGATAAGCACCGGCTGGTATTCCTTGCATCCCATATATTTCTACATGAATATTGTCTCGACCGTGCACCGCAGCCGGAATTTTGTCTATCGTTTCTTTGTGCACCTGGAATGTATATTCTTTTACGTATTTCTGAGCGTTTTTTTTCTTACCTGCATACAATGAATGGATAAGCCGGGTCCGCTGAACAACTTTTTGTGACAAATGTGGCATTTGAAATGTTTTGCTTTCTGGTGTTGAATGAGGATTTTCTCATCGTCAAATTCTCGGTTACAATACCTGAAAAGGAAACGATAGAAGAAAAGAATAGCGAGAATGTTTGAAACACTTACCAGCACCATGGCTTATCGATCTTCTTCTTCTTTCTGCCCATGTTCCACAAATTTATCGATTAGAGAAACTGAAAACACATTTAAATTTGGTCTGGAACTCATTTTGAAATTGATTTCATATCAAAGCGGATTTTCGCATCGAGAAGAACGTCGACGTCGAAAAATTCAATTTTCTTAACGCGGCAGGCAAAACTGGGCGGGGACTCAGACGGGAGCAACACTGCCGCGCAGTTTTTCTGTGACTTTTCAGCTCATAAGTTGACTCAAAAGTGATTCTCATCGGAAAAATGTCTCACAAAAGACAAAACTTATAGGCTATACTTATAGGCTAAGTTATAGCTTAAAAATGCGAAAAAAATTATCTTATCTTGATTAAAAGCTTTAAACATAACATTTGATGATAAAGATTATCGCCACAGAGAACATTCAGGTGCCGGTTGCTGAAACACTACATTTGTAGAAGGTTTTAAACGTTTCAAAATACTCAGAAATCCGGATTTCAACTCACATGGTTAAAACAACAACTTGAAATAATACTTCTGATTTTGACATAAATACATTTTTGTGTTGCTGTAAGTAAAGTCATCAGAATTGGTTAACTTCAAAAAGACGACGGAATTAGGGTGCAGGACATCCAATGAAGAAAAAACAGTTTACACATAAACACTGAAAAATATTTTGAAAAATTGCAGTCAAAATATTTTCAAAATATAATAATAATATTAACACACAAGTCTCTGATTAAAAAGCTATTTACTATTTAGTCGACGGGATCTCCATTACAGTATCCACTTCTTAAACTGAAAACACAATCTTTAAAACAATTAATGTTAGAATCAGCTATATGAAAACGGAATCTCAGTCGATCAGACAGATTTTCCAAGTATCCAAATATCGTCAAACAATCAAAAAAGTTTGATATCTGGATAAAAGCTAAAACAAACATTAAAAAATAAATTAAAATCAAACAACGAGTTCCTCAGGTTATACTGTGAATGATTTTCTGATAGGTAATTGGCTGAACAAAATTGATCCATAGAACTCCAGAGTAGAACATCGAAGGTTCTGAAACTTCCGACGTAAAGATCTGAGAATTGCAAAAACAAAATATTTACCATGTTAAAAAATTACAACCGACTGTCTATACATATGGTCCGCTTGGTTGCTGTATGGCTACTCACATATAATAGATATCCCAAAACATATAACTTGTTCCACTGCATCATCATAACATATATCCGGAATTCCTTTTTTCAGATATCGAATCCGAAATCCGGATGAATAAAATTTTCATGTAATCCGAGAACCAGACTCCGGGGATCTTGGATGTCTTGATCATAAATGTTTCCAGAACATCCCACGCCTAATTTCGTATATTCAAACCAACCTGTCCTGGTTACAAAGTTATTCTTTTCCTCTCTTTTCCACCAGATTTTATTTCATCTTAAAAGTCATCTTGCATGT